AAGGAAAACTGCTTGATTTGTGTCTTGCAGTTTCGTTTTATTTTTACAGCATTTAAAATATTGGAATAGAGAATACAAACATGCCCACCCCCACCCCACCCTCTCTCATTTATATAAAAAGGTTATTTTGCAGCCTAATACCCAATAAATAGTCCAAGGTTGATATCCGGAAGAGGTGCTCTGTGATTACTGTTGGATGCAGGAGCCTGTGAACGTTGGAGTGCCTCTACCAGGAGCAAACAACGGCGCAGCGGCGACTCCTCTTCGGTTGAGTAAGCATCTGAAATGAGCCAATCTGGGTGCAACTATCTTGGGATCTGTTGCTAGCTTCGAAATTGGGGTCCATAGACGCTCTTTAGGTCATAACAAAAAATGCAGAGTCAGAAATAGTCCACAGTGAACATAATTTGTCTTTAAATTGCATATCTTGTTACTTTTAGATGAAATACAAGTTGAGAAAGTAGCACTCTTCTGACACAGTTAGACAATATTCCAAACATTTAATTAAATATGGGTAATTTAACTATTGATATTGCCAGCATAGAGAAGATAAAATTTAATCCAGTGGAATTCCTTTCCTATAACAATCTAATGTGATAAGAGTGTGATATTACCTGCTGCTGCTGCAGCGCGGGGCCATATTGTTTGCTCTATATCTGATGCATCTGCCGTTTCTCCCCACATGCATACTTCACCACCAAGGACTAGTTTCTGTTGCTCAGGCTTGGTGATATTTACAAGTGGTTCATTCATATAGAAACCAACCCATGTGGCATCCAAGTGATCAAGATACCACTTGTCTTGGTTGCTAACAATGCATCTTAGTCCCGCACCTACTACTTTTTCAGCAACTCCACGACCAAGCCTCAAGAAAAAAAAATCATTATGAGGCTATGGTTACAGCAATATATTAATTGAGTAAAACATTCAGTAACTCTGTAATATAATAAAAATTGATCTAAAATATATGTTATTTTCTTAAGGCTTATTAAATTGTAGATGCATGTCATAGAAATGTCTAGGCAATGGATGAGCTATGAAGAAAAGCGATTTTATTTAGAAAGCATGACTGTTAGTGTGCTCTATTATAATTTTCAATAGAGCTATAAGCCTCTTTCTAGATTATAAATTATCCATCTTGGCCACTTCCATTTTCATCAACTTTTTTTGCGAATCATATCTACAATTTTCAATAGAGCTGTAAACCTCGTTTTAGATTATAAATTCATTACTATCGATTACTTACTGCATTCAAATTTATATATTGCTTCTGTAACTTCATAAATGTGTTGTTTAATGACCTATTGTTTTTTGCCTTACCTATAAGATAAATGATATTATTCTTGAACTCTTTGGATAAATTATATAATTCATTTTCAAGCAAACATTTTAGTAGTAACAATTGAGAATGTGATTTCTGATTAAAATAATAGACTTCTGATGAATTTGAACTTTGTCTGACAAGTAGTATCCTTCTTGCTTTATCATGATTTATTTGTTTCCTTGAAATCAAATTCTCGTGTTGATTTTTGTGTTGTAAAGCTTAGACTGCGAGAGGACATCTGATAGTCATCATGCTAGTCAAAACCTGATCTTTTTTATTATGAAAAAACTGATTAATGTTTTTCTCAGCCTCAAAATTAACATATGTATCTAACACTGCACCTATATAATATTGAATTTTTTGGAAGTTGTCGACCATATAGGTAAGGAATACAAGATCTCTCCACACCTTATCTGTCATAAAGGCTGGAGAATTTATCATTTCCTTTATTAATTGAGCGCATAGCGTCTTTAACAGGACATTGGAGCTGCATAACATGCAGTTTGACAAACTGCACATGACATTGGAGCTGCATATCAATTCCACGTTCTATGCAAATATAATAGGAAATAGAATTAACAGAGGAGAGAATCCTGGAGGGAGGTATAGAGGGGGTATGAAATCCATTAGTGTTTAGCATTTAGAAGTTTAGCCAAGTCTAACATAACCTAGCTTTAATATTTCATAAATGAGTATGGGAACGATAACCCATCTTTGAAGTTTCAAAAATTATCTATTAAAATGTGAACTTTGCAATGAGAAACATATTATATGATAAATACTTACAATTAAATTAAGCATATATGATGAAAGTTTAAAAAAATTGCTGGTTATTGGAAACAATATATTTCCTAATGAAAAAATAATGTGGGATCATTGCTAATAGAAACATGATTAGAGAGATGATAATTTGGAAAGATTTCTATTCAGAGAACATGATACAACTAAAGGTGAGAGAGCTACCAGTTATGAACCACAGTTTTGGGGCTAAGTTGTTTGCCAAAATCATTGAACGTCTCCTCCCTGTTTTCAAATTCAAAATCATATATTACGTTGTGTTGATTTGTGATGAATACAAATTCCTTGTTTTAGAAGACCTACCAATTAATGAATTCATAGCCATGGGATGATGCTATTTTTTGTGCTCTTAGGACAAAGTATTCGTAAGCATCAGATTCATTCATCCTTTTTTTCCTTAACCTGCACTTCACAAGATACAGTACCAACTTTTACGAAAAGTTTATAATTTGAGAAGCTACCAAAAATATACTGATAGAAAAAAAGCACTTATATTATACTTAAAAAAAAA